CTTAATTTTAGAGATGAGGTTCCTTCCTGCATGTGAAAGGAACTCTACTGTGTCCTGCAGTAGAGTTGTGATGGGGATTGGAATTGGACCTTAACTATTGCATGGGTAGTTGATATAAAATATGCTGTGCAAAATCCTGTGTGAACGGAGMTGGGAGAGCAGACCTGCTTGTCAACCACTTTTGATATTTTCATTCTCTGTCACAGCCCCATCTAAGTATCTATCTTCTTAATTGGGTTTTGGATAGTGTCCAAGAGCAGAGCTTGATATCCCACTGTATCTGCAGWAAAATGGCACTTAAAAGTAACTAGCACTTCCAGATAAGAACTCCTCATGATCTCCTAAAAGAATTCAAACCCAAGATATTCTGAAATACTTGAGGATCAGTAAAGCAGAGGAGCCCCCTGAGCACGTTGATTATGTGTCTTCCCAGACTGAAGGTTTCGAATCACTGTTAAGTGCTTGGGCTTTGATTGTGCAGAACTTTCCTGGTGCTGCRTTGTCCTCAGCTGTGTAAAATGCCCAGCAGTTTCTGGACACTGCAAAGATCCCCAGGACAGGCAGGTGCTGAAGTGACCTTTGATTTTTCAAGAGCCTGTCTATATAGGTCAGATTCCAATATACAACACGGCTGCAAATCAAGACCAGATCTCTTCACTGGAGCAACTTCAGATTTATGTCTGTGGAAGCAGGAGTTCATGCAGGGTCATCARTTGGGATTAGTTTTTCCAGAGCTGTCTAGATCTGAATGCAGACATGGGGGGCACGTGTCCTCCCCAGACACCRCTATGGGTCATCCCTCAAGTGCAGACAGGGAGCTCGAGTGCCTCCAGTGCTGTGAGACTTGGCACATCCATGACCACGGTGGGCCCGCCTGGAGCTTTGCTGCCGGCTCCTCTCTGGAGGAGAGTGGTGGAGGCGGAACCCAGCATCACCAGCACTGTCTGCAGCCCCTTCCTGGCGCGATGTTGAGTGTTGTGGCTTGCGCTTTTGTGGGACARCACCCACAAACGTAGGCTGCTCCGAGTCAAAGCCAAGTATCTGCAAGCCTAGGAGGGGTCTTTGGACTTTGTCTTACCCTGTTGTTGAGGTTAGAGACAAAACTGTCTTATTTCAGTGGCTGAAATCCTTTCAGGCATTGGGGCTGCACCTCTGTTGGGACAGTGGTATCCAAACATGGAAAGTCCTTGCTGGGAATGCCCCCGGCCCTGCTGCAGCCCTCCCGCTGCCTTCCTGCAAGCATGTGGCGTCTGGCAAGGTCACATCCTATTAGTTGTCAGCGGTGAATCCTCATGGCCTTTAGCGGGCTCAATTGAAGAGCAAGGTGCCAAGAGAAGGACCCTTGTTCATCAGGGCAGGTACGTTGAAGTAGCGGGTTGCTTTTTATCCCTAGCCTGAGCAAACAGCTYGACAGCGACGAGCAGTCCTATGGATCTTCTCCCTGTGTCCCTGAAGGAAACCATGTTCCTCTGCCCATTACAAATTATTGCTGTAAGTCATTCAGATGCTGTGTGAGAAAGTTTAGTGCCTGTCAAGTTGTCTGCGATGTAGCAGCCTGCAGAATAGCGAGGTGTAGATCACACGTGACATTTATTATATGTTGCCCCAGTCTCGCCTCCTCTTGCACGAGCGTTTAAGGAGAAGCAAGGCATGGAGCAAGACTGGGGATGAGATGGAGAGCAGCACGGCCTGGGACGTTTGGGTCCAGTTTGGCGGTGAAGACACCGKATCTGTGGGAGGTTCTCCGGAGTTTCAGTCTGCCAGTTCAGGTTCACATCTCAGTGGATGGTTGTCAATACCCCGCTGGGCCCACCCAGAGTGGGGACTTGCTCGTGCACTTGGTGGGAATTGAGACCAAAAACCTCCTCTTGCCCCTTGTGGTCCACACGGCTGGTGYTGGCCCGAGCGGTTTCTGCAGGTCCCAGCTCAGGCCCAGAGCGTGGGCTTAGCTGACCTGAGAACCCAAGCCCCGCGTGAAGGAAACGGGCCGGYTTCCGGGCGCCGCCTCGCCGGCTCCGTGCCCTCGCGGAGCAGCCGGTYGGAGCGGGGGCTCCGCAGGGAAGGAGGCCGCGGCCCCTGCGCTTTGTTGGAGGGACGGAGGCCGCTCCGGCCCCGCGGTGCCAGGGCTGCTGCTCTATTGGCTCGAGAGGCCGTGGGGGGCGAGAGGGAGCCACTTCATTATGTCCTTTCTTTGAGATCCCTTTTTCCCCCCCGGCTGTCTGTGGGGAGAGGGGCTGGAGCTGCCGGGTTGGGTTTCGGAGGCAGGACGTGGCCAGCTGGTGCCTTGCAGCGGCCCAGGTGCCGCGGGAGCGCGGAGCCAGCCGTAATTACAGGGTGCCGAGGCATCAGCCTCCGCCTGAAAAGGGCTCATCCAGAAGCTGCTCTTTATGGAAAATTAATGGTGAAGCTGGAAAAACTGTCAGGGCTACAATTGTTGTCGTGGGGTAGTTGTGCCTTAAAGGGGCAGCACCTCCTGCCTCCCTCCGCAGGCAGTGCCCAGGGCAGCTTTCTGAGCCCAGAGCAATCRCAATTCCATGCGACTGCTGTCAGCCCTAATGGCCTGGAGTCTCTGCCTTTCTCTCTCTCTCTTTTTTTTCCCTTTAATTTATGATTATGCTTGCTCTTTCATTTGGAAGCCTGTGTTTATTGGGCCCCTGAATTTGCTTTTCCCCCACTGGGGGAAGCTAAGTGGGCGCAAGAGCCCGAGCTGAATGCAGTGGGGAATTCGAAAGCATCACCTGGCTTGGGGTGCGTGTTCCGRAAAGGCTGCAGGGTCCCTTTGCAAAGCTGCCCCCCAAACCTGTTCAGATGCGTTTGGGGAGAGCCTGGAGCCCCGGCTAAGGCCGTTCCTCACGCGCCCAGCGTTGCACTTCCCCGGCCCTGGTGCGCAGCCCCGGCTCGTGGCTTCCCAGGCTCCTGCAAGAGGAGCCTGAGCGCGGCCCATGGGCCCTGGTGGCCTGGGCACAGCCCTGGTAGTGCCTGCTGCTTGCTCCGGTTCAGATGAACCTTCCTGGGACAGGAGGCTCCCAGATGAGGGCCGAGAACCCCGTCCCCTGCCTCTGCCCTCGCAGAGGTGCTCGGCACTTGAGCAGGCGCTGCTGTGTGGGCGGCTCGGGGGGAAATGTTGCTCTGGTCATACGAGCCCAGCAAGGTTGGGCAGGAGCAGCATGAGGTGCCAGGGCAGCCTGCTTGGAAGCCTGGTGTGAATTCCCATCGTTTGGGGCTCGCGGGAAGCCTTGGTGCTGAGCAGGGAGCATGTGCCGGGGCCGCGTGCAGTGACACAGAGGTAACCGGTGCCCYGGCGGCAAATCCAACCCATCGTCGCCGTGGGTAAGGGAAAGGGACCCCCTGGGCAGAGGCAGGCATGTGGGGCAGGGAGCTGCCCTGTGGAGGGGGCACCTTGGCCCTCTGGTCAGGAGCTGGACTATCCTGTAGAAGGTCAGGGACTATCCTATTGAACATCAGGAGGGCACAAGCTGGACGGCTGCCCCTGGCGAGCGTGGGACGGCCGGCGTGCGGCCCCAGGCCTGCGTGCGGGGCGGGAACACGATCCCGTGCTCTGGGAACTGCCCACGCGCTCAACGGGAGCTCTGCTGCACAGTGCTGCTCTGCTGCCTTCTGCCCAAGCCCGGCTCTGCAGCGCAGGTCTGTAATCAGGGATTATTTAAAAAAAAAAAAACCACAAATGTCCTAACAAATTGTTAACTCTGAAAGTCATCCCACGGAAGTACATGTGAGAAGAACAGTGTCCTCCCTTGCTGCACTGAACGCAATAATCCTGGGCTTCTTCCTAGCTCCTAGACAGCTGTGACTGGAACCTCTTTATCCTCCTGTTGTTGGGACCTTTGTGCTCAGAGGCTGGGAATCTGCCTCTCCTCCTGTCCCTGCTGGTAACAGGTTTTTGTTTCTCCATCGGGTGCGTGGCTTCCAGGTTGAGATGCACTTGTGTGACCACAGGCTCTGTTGAAAATTTTGTTTTAAAATCCCCTTATTGTCTCTAGAAGTGTTCCCTCGGGAGCAGTTTTTAGAGGTTTCTAAAAAAAAAACTAGAGCGTGTGTTTCTCCAGGTCCTGTAAAATGGCCRTGCTGTTACTACAGCAGCTAGCCTTGCAAGCAGCCAGAAGTGAAAAACGGCACTAATAAACTCTGCTAAAAGCTCCTGAAACTACAGCCAGCTGTTTTCGATAAATAATCAAAGTTTATAATGTGTGTTTTGGAGAGCATTGAGCAGWCTGATGGTGCCTGCAGGTTTATTGAAGCTAATTGAGGACACCTCATATAAGATCCATTTAACTAGGGGGGGTTATCCTTGTATTGACAATCATTGCTTTAACTATATCTTTACTTTTACAAAGCTCTGTGTGTGTGCACAAGCCTGTGTCCTGTATGTGGGAAGTGGCACCTGARCAGAGGTGCCCAAAACCCTCCAAAAATGACAACAGGACCCCTATTTCTGTCACGTCTTCCCTCATCCTAGGCCATTTAAATAATCTGCAGTATCTCTGGAGCTTCTCTGCTCTTTCTGCCGTAAAATGATGTAGTTCAGAATTGTGCCATTTTAAGAACAGATTGAGCCCCAGCCAGCTCTGCTGAGTTGCCTTTGGGGAGAAACGTGGTGTTGGGGGAGAAGGGGGAGACGATTCTTTGCAGAGGCCACGTTGTAGTTGTCGGTGGCCACAAGAGAAGGCAGCGAGAATTGCTCCGTGTGGAAGCGGCCGTTGGCCGGATAACACATTCCTTTGGAAGGGACCTCGTATCCACGGGACAAAGTGCAGGCTTTCATGAAAAAAATAGTAGATGCTTTCCAGTCTTTGCTTTAACCACATGTCCGCTGCTGTGTGCTGATATTCCCACATTCCCACGTATATTCCATGAGCAGCTGCAAATAAGCACCAAATCCGCGTATTTCCCGAAGGGCGGCCCTTCCTCCGCTAGGTGGGAGTTAGTGTCTCTAACACTGATTTCTTTCTCTGCTCTCTCCCTCGGCCCTCCCTCTGCAGACGTGCCTGGAACTGGAGCGGTACCTGCAGACGGAGCCGCGCAGRCTCTCCGAGAGCTTCGGCGAGGAGCTGGACTGCTTCCTGCACGCCTCCTCAGCTCCCGACGCGGAGGACGGCATCCCAGGGCTGGAGCCCATCCTCTTGCCAGTGGAGACGAGCGCGTGCGACAAGAGCGCCAGCGTGGATGCCCTCCTCTCACGGGACAAGCTGCTCTCTGAGACGTGCCTCAGCGTGCAGCCCTCCGGCTCTGCCACGGAAGGCTACGGAGCCGTCAACCAGGCCCAGCTCAATGCGGTCACCTCATTAACACCCCCTTCCTCGCCGGAGCTCAGCCGCCACCTCGTCAAAACCTCACAGACTCTCTCGGCGGTGGACGGCTCGGTGACGTTGAAATTGGTGCCCAAGAAGTCCCCGCTGGGCTCCGGGAAAGCGGGGGTCGCGGCAGCGACTGCGGGGACRGGAAAGAGCGGGCAAAGTGACAGTGAGCAAGGAGGCGCCGGGGCGGAGGCGTCCCCGGAGAACAAGAAGAGGGTTCATCGCTGCCAGTTTAACGGGTGCCGCAAGGTTTATACAAAGAGCTCCCACTTAAAGGCTCACCAGAGGACTCATACAGGTACCTGTGTAGGATGCTTCTCTTCTTCTCCTGCTACCCGTCACAGTAACCGATCTCCTGTTATTCTCATGTAGAAAAGGAAAAAAAGTCTCCTGTGAAAGTCCAGGCCCGTGTTTGTGCCACGGGGTACTGGAAAATGTGGCAGGTCCCCARTTGTACCCGTTTCCAGAGAACAGGGGAATTCACTCTCTGCGATTAGCCAGTGGTGGTTTCATGTCTTACAGGCCTTGATGTGGAGTGATTTCAGGATCCCTGAGGGATTTAGATACACCATGCACATTACCTCTGTGGTCATGCCGCCGTGGGTTTGGGGTATTCCATTCCCCAGAACAACCTTAAAAAGKTTTATTTTAGTCATATTAACTGCTTGAAACAAATGGTGCCGTGCGTAGGTTTTCTGTTACCTTTCATATGGCAAAAGAGAGAAAAAAATGTATTTCAGATCTGAGAGGTGTGGTTTAGGAAGAGTGTGTGTGCGAGAGCAYGTGGGTAGATGCAGACACTGCCTGTATACAGACACGTGTACCCTTGAGATCCTGCTCTCTGGGCTACTCCAGTGATAAAATACATGGAGAACGAGCCAAGGAATGACATAGAGTCTGTCCGGAGAGAAATATGGAAAAATAACAGGCTTTCTGATGGGGGGTAATATTTGCTAATGCTGCAGATAAGCCTCACAGTGTAAGCTTCTTGAAGCACCCCAAATGGGCTCAGGTTGGGCTGTTGAAAATCCCCAACCTCCTGTCGTTTGTGCTTGGGCCCCGCAGCCCGCGTTCGTGGGCAGGAATAGCTGCGCAGCCCATTCRCGTCGCTGCTTTGCTCCGAGCTTCACATGTGATGGGAGCTGATAAATTCCCATTAGCACTATCTTATCATGTGATTATTCCCGTTTCCAGAGGGATTGCTGTAAGCAGTTTTCCCAGTTTTGCTGTAAAATGTGTGGTCTCCTGCGATAACTGCACATTTAATTCATAATCTTATCGTGCGGGCAGACTTCTAGAAGCGACGTGGCTCTTGCAAGGCACAAAATAACACGTCGGGCCAGTGCAGTAAATCAGACAAACGCGTGGGCTGTGAAGAGGGCTGCATCCGTCATACACTAGGCAACGCTGTAGAAGTTGCATGGTCTGAAGCATAAATCATAGCAAGATATAAAACACGTTGGTTTTGATCTTTCAATACAGATTTCCTGGGGATTTTATTGGGCATATTCAGCTTGCTGGTAGTGGCCTCGCTGGGGATCTAGTGCTCTGGAAGCCAATGGAAGCGGCGCAGTCGTTCCAAGCCCTGCAGCAGCGCAGCGGGGACGCTGGCGCAAGCAGGGCACAAGCAGGGCACAAGGGCGGGCGCGTTGCTGCTGACACAGCCACAATGTCCTCCCTGTTCCGGCCTGACCCCTGCGCTCCTCCTCCAGCTGCGAGCCACGAGTCTCACGCGGCCGGTCCTCAAGTTAGCCAAGAATGCCACGTGTTCCCCCGAAAAGGGGGAACTCGTGGAATTGCTGTATTTGCATCACCCAGTGGGTGGTGTGGGAACAGGGAGTCCTGAGAGAGCCCTTGCAGCAACAACTGCTCTTGCAAAACCGCCCCAAACCACCCCGTGCGGGGTGACGTTCCCTTGTTATCCACCTCCTCCAGCAGGGAATGAGGGCCCTGCTGTAAGGCCCATCAGAACAGTTGGATTGGCTATGAAGCCACATTCCGGATAACCTTTGGAGAGGGAAGAGCTATTACCTGTGTGGGAGAGAATTGGATCTGGAAGGGAAAGGGAAAAACGCGGGCTGGATGGAAGGGGAGATGAAAATATTTTACTGAATTCAGAGTAAGTGGGGACGTGTAAAGTGAAGGGGGTGTAAAGGCGTTGGGGCTGTCCGTGGGAAAAGCAGAGGAGCCCCGCGAGGAAGAAGGCTGTGCCCGTGACTGGGAAGGAAGGGTGAGCCCTGGGCTTGGGAAGCTGCCCGCGGGGGAGAGGGGCCAACACGCGAGGAGGGAGCCCCGGCCTCAGGCCTGACGGAGAGACCCGCTCGCACCCGCTCACGGAGCCGCCGGCACCGCCAAGGGCCGCGCTGGGTCTGATACCAGCTAAGCTCAAGTCTAAGACACAGAATTTGGTCATTGCATGTTTATATTTAGCCGCATAAAACCCAGAACAACGAGGAGATCCCYGTGCAAATAGGTGTAGGGAGTCTACATGCTAACCTAAGAACACGCAGGCTTAAGTAGACTCTGCCACTGTCAGGATAGCTTATTTTAAATTATATAGTTCTTTGATTCAGACTGCTGGGTGAGAGTAACAAAACCARATAAATCCTCCCTGCAGGAAAACAAATTACTGTGTTTGCAAGGAAGAGGCTAGGGAGACACGAGCGTGTCAGCAATGGTGTTAGGGAACCTGGAATGGGATCTGGAGGGTTTTGARGCAGGACTTAAAAGAGTAGGAAAGTTTTCCTGAAGCGCTGGGGCTGCAAGAGGAAAAGTTCAGGGTTTGGAAATGGTAGGAAAAGAACCAGTTGATGCAAGAAGGCTGGGTGATAAATCACAGAATCACAGAATRTTTAAGKTTGGAAGGGACCTSTAGAGATCATCCAGTCCAACCTTCCYGCTCAAGCAGGCACACCTACAGCATGTGGCACAGGGTGGCATCCAGGCGGGTTTGGAAGACCTCCAGAGATGGAGACTCCACAGCCCCCCTGGGCAGCCTGTTCCACTGCTCTGTCACCCTCACAGGAAAGAAGTTCCTCCTCACCTGGAGATGGAACCTCCTGTGTTTCAGCTTTCCTACAGTGCCTGCTGTAGGAAAAATGACTGGAAAAGTTACAGGAAAGGACAGGCAGACAATGCAGGGAAGGTTGGGTGACGTTGGGAATCAAGTTGTGCCTCCCTGCCTGGCTGGAGTTTGGGGAAGGTGCATTTGTCTCCAGCAAACTGTGGTCTGACACCGTCTCCAAAGGCACTTGGTCAACAGACGTCAAGCAGGCGGCACCGCGCTGCTGTAGGCTCCATATGAGAGGAGCGAGGAGGACGTCAAGGGGCAGCTCAGCCGCTCGGAAAGGGAAGGACAAAACACCCCATGGGACCTGCCCTGGGCCGGGGTCTCCAAGAGGGAACAGAGCTTTCGTGTCCCTGGGAAGCAAAACCGCTGCTCACAGCTGGGCTCATACCTTCTAAGAAGCCCATAGCAATCAGTGGCTTCATGAGAATTCAAATGATTTTTCTGTAATTTATAAAAATACAGGTGTGCAAAGCTGCGTGTGCTTGGGTTCAGTGCCTAAATGTTGGGAGCTGCAGCGTGTTTAGTTGTGCTTTTCCTCTGGCTTTCTACTTGGCCGTCACCTGTAGCCGGGCGAAACTTTTCCTGCCTCAGGTTGAAATTTTCCACACTTGGTCGTTTTCCAGTGCGGTTGCTGTTTGTTACTTTAGAAGTTTGAGGGGAAATACTTGTTTTTTAGGAGAATTTGGCGGGTGTGCTGGGGAGGGGCGAGCAGGAAAAGAGCTTTCCTCAGAGTAAAAAGTCGAGCCGGAAACTTGGCATATTTAGTGGAAAAGAGCCTTTGAGGAGCAGGTTTTTATCTGCGACTCCCTGAGCGAGAAGGAGCTTGAAAGGTCTGTGAGCTCTGTTGTAGCCCACAGGCCACGTGCGGGTGCCGCAGAGCCCGTGTAATTCTGTCAKGAATTCCCTGCAGAACCCAGCGAATCCCACATGGGATTCTTCTCCTAGACTTCATTTGTCTTTGGATGCATATTCAGAAATGTGTTTGATACAGAAAGTTTGTTTTATTTTTTCCTGAAGATGCAGTGTTGCCCAGTGAGGGAATTTCAGGGTACATTTTTATCTTCCTTTTGTTGGATCCACTTGGATCGGCTTCGTTTTCCCTACCATCGTCTTCGCCAAGACTGGGAAACGGAAAAGAATTTAAAATTACATTTTTTTCCTTATGCTTTATTGCTGTGTTATCCCTGCCAGTCTCCATCCCTTCCCTTTGCCTTTCTTCCCTTTCCCAGGGAGCAAGCGAAGCGATAGCTCTTTAACGAGGGGCATTTTTGGAGTTTTTCCCTCATTTCCTCTCTTCCTGCAGCCACTGCTGCTTCACACTGCGCTCCGCTGACTGCAAAGCTAAAAGCCATGATTAGAGGGGGGGAAAAATGAAGGAAAAACCCCACAAAATCCCCCTGCAAACGCTCCTGCAGCTCCCTGGGGATGTGGAGCGCGGCCGCCAGACTGGCGCGGCGCTTCCAGGAGCTGCGGCGCGGGATGCGGCCGCCGCACAGCTGCTTCCCGGCCCGTCGCCCAGCACCTCGGCCCCTTTGGTCCCTTTCTCCATCCCTCCTTCCCGCCCCTGCTCCAGAGACGCAGCCGGGCCGCTTGGCCGCGGCTCCGCAAGGGCTGCGCCGGCCCCGCGGGGTGTTCGGTGCCGGCTAGGAAATGGGACGTTTCCCCCTCTCCCAACGTTTTACCTCCCTCTGCTCTTCCGTCTGACACGGACGGGTGTTGTGCGTTGCCCATATGGAAGAACTAAGACCAAAAATTCCGTTTTGTGTCCCGAGAGCCTGCGTGCCAAAGAGGAGGCCCTTGCGGAGCGGCGCAGAGCTGTGAGGTTTGTGGAAAGAGCGATGGGAGCAGGTTGGTCACCTCTTTTCCTGCTCCTGCAGCACGGCGGTGACTGGAGCCGTCAATCCGGAGCCCTTTGGGTGAGAGGAGCTGGGCGTCCCACCCGGCCGAGCGCTGCTTCTCCCCCCGACTTCCCTRCGCTCCAAAACCAGGCACCACCTTCCCCCAGCCCTGCCCCATCCCTCTCCCACCCCATGCCTTCTCTTATGGCTTTTCCTCTCGTGCTTTGTCACCCTTTCGAAGGCTTTTCCATCTTCTCAGCAGGTGGCAAAACTGTGAGTAAAAATGCCTTTTTTCCCACCTTTTTTTGGGTAAAATGCACTGGTGATGCATTTAAGCACTGTCTGCTCCCTGCCCCCCTGCGTGCCTTTGTAATAATAAAAGATAATAATTACGCTTTCTACTTCTCCAACAAAAATCAATTAGGAGTATATTGAGGAATGAAAGGCACATAAAAGTATCTGAAATTGATTTTTATAATTAGTTTTACTGCTTGATGGGTTGCACACATATATGCTTAGATGGCAGCCTTGACCTCCAGAGGTTGTGTGCATTARGCAGGCTGTTCTTCCCCTTTGCCGGAGGAATGAAGCTAATATTCATCTTAAAAGGAGGCTGAAGATGATGCTGGCTGATCTACAGCTGCTCCCAAGCTGTCCTGTAAAGCCACCCATGAAGCAGCCYTGAGGACCAGGTGACGGGCGCTTAAATGCACTGAATTCACTGCGATGCAAGGGCACTTAAATCTGAATTTCCTTCTGCAGTGTGCATCTATTAAGTGCCAAACACCGGTTTCCTGGTGAGTACCAAAGGGCAGTTGGCACCGCAGAGGCGGAGTGGCCGGCAGCGGTGTGCGCTGTGCCACGCGGCGCGTGCCGCTGCTCCGCTAATTGGAAGAGTTACAGCCCGGCCTCGTCGGCACGCGCGTGCAGCTCGTAAAGCTCCGGGGGCCCCTTGCACACGAAGAGCGCCACGTAAATATAAAATATTGTTAACGTGGCGCCCCRCACTCGGCTCCCGGTGCGCGGCGGYGGGAGGACATCACATCCAGGAGGATTCAGGAGCATCCGTGGCACCGCTGGGGACCGGCGCCTCAGCGTGTCGCACCCCCACGCTGCTCGTTGCGGAGAATTACTAAAACCCTCCTAAAAACCCACTTTTTTCTTCATACGTCTCTGCATGACTCGRTCCCCCTCGAGCTTTCTTAGGGGAGAAATCTGGGGGAGAGGTCTGGCGTTTAATCCCCTTCTCTGTTGCAAGTTGCAGTCGGCGTTTTTGTCAAGTCCTCTAAGAACTCAGGTACTGGAAGGAGCGCCTCTAAAGCCGCCTTTCAGGGCGTATTTTTAGGCTTTGAGGCTTTTAGAACTAGTTTCGTTTTGAATAACCTTTTAATCACAGATTTCTAAAATGGAAGGAAATGTGTTGTGGGTTTTTTTTTTTCATGAAAACTGAAACTTTATGCAAATAACCCAGCACAGATTAGAACACATAGTGATTTTTTTTTTTAAAAAGAGGAGATTGTTGTTGTTTTGCAAGGGCAAATTCCCGCCTGCTATTTTTCTGTAATCACATACCTAGTATTAAGGAGCTATTGAAGTATAATATAACTAATTTGTTACTTTAATGGCCTTCAAAATGTGCATCCAAAGGGGATTTGTTTTTGTTCCTTCCTTTCTTTGGGATTTTTTGGCTAAATCCGTCATGCTGACAAAGGGGCTCTCCACTGCTCCGTATTTTGGCTCTCAGAGCTAAAACTCAAAATTTAAAACCAGAATTTTTTGACTGGGGTTCTCCACTGAGCTGTGTAGGGCTGGTGTGGAAGTTCCTTGTAGGCCAGGATTTTACCCTCCTGGTTGTTTCCCTAAGCACACTGCACTCAACACATGRCTTTGCTGTGCTGCTTAAGGAGGGGCGCAGGGGAGGGCCAGGGAAATAGATTCACCGGGATAATCCTGATGTGTTTATTTGCTTCAGTTCTGTAGCGATAAAGGGTGGAGCTCAAGCTGTAGTGGGCATTTTGCCCGTGACTTCAGTGGAGTCAGGATTTCATCCAGCGGCATTGCCACCTTGTTTGATATTACTATGCAGGTGCCCYGATTTGGAGGGTTTTCTTTTTAAATAAAATCCCTACTCTTGAAATCCAAGGAACAGGTGGGAAAAAAAATCTTCTGCTTTCTTTTTTAATGGGTGTTTTTCATTTGCAGGACTGCAAAGAACAATTTAAAAGCATGACCTTAGGTCATCCCCGAAACAAAAGCCRAGCGATCTCTAAATATTATTGTTTTCTTTTAAAGTCTCATTATTTTTATGGGAGACTGAGCTCCTGAATTTATGTTAACCCTTGGGCTTGGCAATGGATCCTGCAGATACAAGATGTATAAAATCCTTGCCTTCCTCCACAGCATGCTCTGGTCTTGTTGCGGTGACGGTGTCCTTGGTTGATGTCTGCTCGGTACCTCAGGGTGTTATTTACACCCGTGCTGGTGTTGCTGGGCTTTTGTGCTTGGCTCCTGTGTATTTTCCAGGGATGCATGTGGGGCTTCGTTTATTTTTATAACCAGTTGCCTGATGTTTAGAGTCCTGCATTTGTCATCGTCACCAAAGGGGCACTGACCTGATTTCGGAGATACCAAGGTCTTGCGGATTTTTTGCTGCGACTCTCACAAATTTTGGCTTCGGTCCTGCATATTTCCTGTCAGTTTGCAAAGTTCAGCAGGTTGGAAGTCACCAGAGAAGGTTTTCTGCCTCCCAGGGGAAAAAAAATGAGGAAAACRTGAAAGCTACTATTCTGGGTCCGTCCTAGAAGGTTTTCCGTGCACATATGGTATGTTGACATTAGCCCTTGTCTCAGAAAAATGCAGAACTCGATGCAGGGGCCGGTTCTCAACTGGGGCCGCCGAGGGTTTTGGAACTGCCTCTTTGGGAAGCGGCTCCTTTCTCGGAGCCTGGATGTGGCCTTTGTGCGGCGCCCACGTTGCTGTGCAGGGACGTGGCTCCTGGAGCTGCTCGCGCACCGCACGGGTTTGTGTGCTGTGGGGGGAATAAAGGTGGCCGAAGGAGTCCAGCCCCCTTCCCGGGAGCGACTCACGGGCTCCATTTTAAGCGCAGTTATTAATTTTGTGGAATTAGAGCCTGAAAAAGAAAACTCGGTGTGGCGCAGCTCTGTGCTATGCCTATTTTTAATYGAATTTTGAAGATTATTATTAATTTGTTAGAACGGGGGAAATCCTGGCCCCGTAGAAGCGAGTGGGAGCTCTGCCTTCAGCAGAAGAGGGCTTCCCAAGGCAGCCTTTTGTTCCCACTAATCCTGCACCGCGGTGGCGGAGCAGCCTGGCCCGTGGGGATGGATGGATGGATGGATGGATGGATGGATGGATGGATGGATGGATGGATCATGCTCCTGCGTTGCCGGGCGCACACAAGCCCCTCAGCGGGAAGTGCAGCCGCTTCATCTGGGCAAGGTGGGAGCAACCACCAAAGAAGCGGATTGTTCTCTGCCCTGGCGTGTGGAGACGCAGAATTCCCTCCTTTCCTCCCGCCTGTCTGAGCGGGAGATGGAAGCTCGTGGGGGCCTCGGGGCCGAGGCTGTTCGTGTCTGTCCTCAGCGCTGCTCTCCCGCAGGCCTCTCCGTTGACACCCTTTGGGAACAGCTCGGGAGCCGCTCGCACAGAAGCGCTGCCCCGCTCACCGGGCACGGAAGAGCCTTTCCCTGTGACAAGCGGAGAGCCCGTGTCGTGTGGCAGCCCCAGGCCAGGTTTGGGGCCGGTGCTGGTGGCGGTCCCCGAGGCCCCGCTGAGGGACCCGCACAGAAACACCACTGCTTCGCTCGCTCACGAGCAGCTTTGCGCTTCTTTGCTATTCCTCCTGAAAAAAACCCTTTACAAAGGTAAAATAAACAGGTAGATAAATTAAAACAGTGCGCAGAGGTGACCGGGCAGGCAYGGCGTGAGGGGGGTGTTTGTGTTGGCCCAGCCCCTGTCCCTGAGGGGGACACATCCCGCCTGGCCTTCTGCACTGGGGGGCTGAGGCACAAACTGAGSCTTTGGCGCGGGCACCTCTGCCGCTGCTCGCCCCGGCGGGGTGTCTGTGGAGCCAGACGGGCCCCRCGGGGGCTGAAAGGGCTCGGCTGCAGCCCGTATTGCAGCCGCTGGCGTGGGGCAGCAGAGCTGTGGGTGCACGCGGGCCGCTGCAGCGCTGAACGCGCCCGGGACCTGCCTTCCCTGCCTGTTCCGATGCCGCTCCGGAGCCTTCTGCGTTGCCCCTGCTCTTGGGGCCCCTGCGTTTTGGCGCTCCGAAGTACCGAGGTCTCCCGTAATCAGATCTCTCTCCTTTACCTGCTGAGTGCACAAGTTAAATATAGAAACCTGCCCGTCTGCACGGAGGGATTTCAGTCTGCTTTAGCCAAGCGACTGTCGCACGTGACTTGGCTGTGGGCAGGTCGTATAGATTGCGACTTTGGTGTGGGCAGCGATGGTTTTTACAAATTTATTTATAAATTATTTATTTATTTATAAATATATATATTTATAAATTATTTATAAATATATATAATTTATATATATATTTATATATATTTAAATATATATAAATATAAATATATATAAAATTTTTATAAATTTTATATCAGCTTCTTAGCAACGTTAAGCACAAATAGGTAAGTAATAACCCTGTCTTTGTTTATAATTCCCAGCTAAGAGGCTCGGTAGGGAAAGTGTCTTCTTGTCGGCTCTTTCCCTCAGCCCCCTCCTCCGCTAATGCATCCATGCTGTGCGCGCCGCGCGGGGAATACTGACATTGATTTTATATAGGAGGAGCAGCACTCGAGCGTGGGTTATGGGGGGAGATGATGTTGCACCCTGGCAGATTTCCATCCGCAGGGACTGGTGTGTGCTGGCAAGCAGGTAACTGCGAGCAGAGCAGCACCTCGCCTGCCTCTTCCCTTGCCCCACTGCCCTGCCGCCAGCCACACGGTTAATGGTTGGGGTAGGAGAACAACTGGTGACGGTGCAGTGCAAAAAGCCTGAAGGGCAGGCTGGTTTGAAGTCACGTCTTGAGCCAAAGAGCAGTTTCTGTTCGAGGAGGAGCAGCAGAGGAGCCCCAAGGCTGGCGCAGCACCAGCATTAAGGAGTGYAGGCGTCCCTGACCGTGGGCTGTGCTGCGGAGGGAGAGGCAGGGGGAGGCCGCCCAGCTCAGCCCCTCAACCCCACCGCGTCGGTGCCTGGTGACCCTGCTGACTGTTCTCTCCTCCCCTCCGCAGGTGAGAAGCCTTACAAGTGCTCGTGGGACGGGTGCGAGTGGCGCTTTGCACGCAGCGACGAGCTCACGAGGCATTACAGAAAGCACACGGGCGCAAAGCCCTTCAAATGCAACCACTGCGACAGGTAATGCAGCCCCCGGCACRGCGTTGGCTCCAGGTGCAGGGACCGGGCACGGCGGGAGCTGCCGGCTCCCTGGGAGCGGAGACCCGTCTCCTTGTCCACTGGCTCCCTCCTCCTGTCCTGGGAAGAAACTGGAGAGAGGCGCCCCAGGGCCACGAGCAGCCTCCTCTGCAGAAGCCCAGGAGCAGAGGAGGCACCTCTGACACTTCAGCTTTGTGGGATGGCTTTATGTAAGATCTCTGCACACTCCCTAATGTGCAGAGAGTGAGTGCACACTAATGAGTGCTCACTCACTAAYGAGTGAGCCTTGTCCAGCTGTAAATCTCCCCCTTGGCATTTCCTTGATGTGGGAAATGCTCCACGGCTTTATTTTGTGCKGGCTGAGATTTTAAAGCATGATAGATGCCCAGAGCAGAGCCTGTCAGGCAACAGCCCTCCTTTGGGCACTGGGAAATGAGGGGCCTGCAGAAACTGGGCACCCAGCAGCTCTCCRAGAGAGCAGTGGGAGCTGCCGCTTGCTGCCAGTGCCTTTTTGCAGCCCTCACCACTTCATGTTGCTGCTGAATTAATGATGAGCTTGTCTGAAAAAATCTGGTCATCCTCGCTGGGTGCTGACAGCCGGGCTCTTTGAGTCTGGAAACAAAACCACGAGGAGCAAACCCTCCCCGTAGTCCCGCTGATAATAGGGTGGGGTGGAGCACCAGCAGTTACCCCCCTGATGACTCCTGACAGCCCTGGCAGCCTCCACCAAGGAGCCCTTTCCCGCCTCGCACCCCCAGCTGGAGCCTGGCAGTGCCCTGAGTGAAACCTGGATCCACTCCTGGGTAATCAAATAATGTGCTTGCATCTGAGCATGTTATCCGGCTAATCCTATTTATGTATCTTTTTTTTTTTTTTTTTTAAAAAGAGGCTTAAGAAAATTACCCTTTTTTTTTTTAATGCGGCATTAAGGTTCTCTGCTCTGATAAGCAAACGTTTTCTAACACAATAAAGGCTCTAGGAAGCCGCTGGGTGCATCAAATCCCCAGAAGACCTGCATGGAAAGAGGATACGTGGGACATAAACAAGGGATCCCATCCTCTAATGGGAAGGAAATTTGATCATTTTACATCCTGTCTTTCCAAGAGCTTCATCTCCTTGAGCTCTCTTTTCCCCTTGTCTCCCCTCTTCCTGCCCCCCTTCCCTCAGGCTTCCTCTTGAATTTTCTTTTGTTTTATCCCCGGATTATCTTTTGTTTGCACAAAATGAGGGATGGGGCAAGCTGTGTAGAGACCTCTGGAGTTTGCTTTGGTATAGGCATCTCTGAAGGAGAAGGTTTGTGTTCTCATTTTAAACGTAAGGCGCTGCCTTGATCTGTTTTCTTCTCTGGAGAATGAGCTAACCACGCCAGTCTATACACAYAGACACACAGAGGCAATGTAAAAATGTCAGGACAGACAGCGTTTTTAGCAGAGATGGCAAGAAATACAGCGGGTGTCCGCAGCTCCTCGGTCTCCCAGGCCTTGGGGCYGTGTTGGCTCTCCTGCTCCCCTCTCCAGGCGTTTTCTGTGCAGCCAACCCAGCCCCTGCAGCAGAGAGGGCTGCCTTCAACCACCTAACGCCTTTTCTGCTCTTGTGCAGCAAGCTGTGCGTGGAGGAAGCGTGTTTATTGGTAAGTCCGGAGTGCTGGGTTAGACTCCGCACACAGGCCGTGCCCGTTCGGCGCTAGGAGCCAGCTTTGTTGTTCCCTGCCCAGGCAGTTGTTGCAGGCCGGTGAAGGGACTCTGTCTCGTTGCGCTTTGGTCGGTTTTGGCCCACGCTGCCATCCCGCTAGTTTTCCTCCTGTTCCGATTCACAGACACTTCTGCTACCCSCTCTTGCAGATGTCACTTCAGGCAAGCTCTGAAGCGACATACTGAAAGCGTGTCCCTACCCAGGAAAACACTCAGACAGACATTTAATGGTAAAGACATCCCTGAATTGGTCCCAGATGAGAAACAGTTTCTCCCTATCTGAACTGCTGCCCTTTTCTGCACTGTCCTTAGTGACAGGGGCTGTGGTAGCTCCCCAGACCTCCAGCCTTGCTGGGCATTAAGGAGCCCGTAGGAGCTGCATTTAGCAATCCTGCCATAGCAGCGAGCAGCAGCATTGCTGTTCAGCAGAGAAGGAGCCCCGTTGGGCTTAGGGAGCGCGCGTGGTGCCGCGTGGCTTCCAGGATTAGGGCATCTCTATCCGCGCCAAGTGTCCGTGCCCTGGGCAAGGGACCACGGGGAGGGCGGTGGTGGGTCCCACACACACACACGGAGCTGCAGGAGCGTCACTGTGTTCCACAAGCCGGGCTGGGCACGAWCCGGCTCCCTGCTTTGTGGACAAGGGAGTTTCTCCCGTCGCCTTTCGGAGTCCTCTCCACTGCTGGTGGCAGTTCCAGAAGGGAAAAACGTGTCCGTTGGTGAATGTTTTTGTTTTTATCAGCGTGATTTAGCTGCAGCATTTGGTAGGGAGGTTTTTACCATTGAAATTAATGTCCCCATCCAGCAGCCTCACCGCTAGATAGCACTACCCAAATCATTCTGCAGGAAAGCCTGAAGAATCACTAATGTACCTTTCTGTGAGCAGTAAAATATACCGTAGGCAAAAAGGTTACCAGATACTAATGCTGTGATCCTTGATGTGACACGATGCCCTAGGACCCTGTTTTTACCGGACCTGGCTGTGCTGTGACTCAGCACACTTCTTCGGGGCTGCATTCCCAACAGAGCGGAGCAGCRAGGAAAAGCTGCGCCTGGGAGGTGGCTCTGCAGCTGCTCCCGGCTCCAGCGCCAGCTGGTGCCGGCCTCTTTGGCAGCCCCCGGGGCTGTTGTTTCGTTTTGGCAGCCAGAGCTGCTTCCAGGGCAGCTGACGAGAGGGATCTTGGTGCAAGGATGGATGTTGGCACCCAAGGGTTGGAAAATCCTAGCGGCGCTGAGAGCCCCCTCCGCTCCCAGTTGCCTTGTGAGCCTGCAGGAAGCAGCCTCCATCCCGGTGGCCAGGCTTTCTTCTTGATTTCTGCCCCACTCTGCCTTACACAAAGGTATTGACCGCCTCTAAGCTGCTGCGGATCAATAGACAACTGCTGAGTAGGGCAGTGCTGTCCGCAGCCACCGCGCATCTCGCTTTCCTTGTCAGAGCTGCCTCCTTGGGAGCTCTCTTTGTCTGGAAAATATGGATCTTGCTCCTCATCTTTGCATACAGAGTGCCTGTGCCKGGGGACAGACAAGGTCCCTTAACAATTTAAAATCTTTTCATTTTTAGAGTTCCTCAGCCTTTCTCCGCTCGTGGTGGGGATCCCCTGGATGTTTGCCATGAGGTTGAGCGTGCTTCCTGCTGCTTTAACTTAGTAGTTGAAATATCTTTCTTTTTTCCTCTCTGAAAAATACGGAATACTCAACCACTGCATTTTCTGGAAGTATRTTCAGTGCAGTATGGATGTGAGCTGTCCACGTTCTCACAAGAAACTTCCTTTTCTTTTCTAAGGTGCATTGGTGACTCTCTCATGCTCTAAATGTGGGGCAGCGAAACGATGTTTGAAGCAAGCTGGGTTTGTAAGTAGCTTGTCACGATGCCCTCAGAGCCAAAAAACACGGTTTATTGAAAAGCCACAGATCGGATCTTTTTAGGGGATATACCTACAATAGGGGATACTTACAAACTTTGCTATTGTCAAGTGAGTGAGCCAGTGTCTTATGGGCCGGAGTGGGCAGAATGCAGAGCACCCGGGCGAAAGAAGAGCACTGGTCCTGTCCTGGCRCCGACGCTGCTCGATGGTGTGAAGAGCCCGGGTTCGGGCTGCTCCTCCCGGTGCCGAGCGCGCCCTGCAGCGCCTTGGCTGCCTTGGAGCTCTTCCTGGACAGTAACTCCGGAGGAGGTGGTGTGGGGTGCTGCTCCTGCCATTAAGGGGGTTTTAGTCTGGGCATTAACTTGCTTCTCGAGTGGATTTGGTTATTTCAGAAGGCGGCCTTTAGAAAGGGAGTTAATCTAAAATAGATGTTGTGTTTTGAATCCATACCCTACCTTATCCCAAATCAGTGGTGTATTTAGACCAGCCTTAAAACTCAACAGGTGTTTTAATTCTCTAGGGTTGCCATCCTGAGTCCATCTCATCAGCACCTATCTACCTTTTTGGAATGTCAAAATACAGTGTTTCGTAACGACGTGGAGAAGAAATGGCTTTGAAAAAGACCCCAAACTTGAAAGTCAAAATCCTGGGATTTATTTCCGGTTTTACTAGACTTCTTGTATGATCTGTAGCAATTTTCCAGTTTTCTTGCCTTATCCATGTCTCGATTTTCACTCTTAAAAATAGGGATTGTACCTTACCTCCTCTCAGCATTATGCAGGGAGATGGTGTTTATCAACATCCACACTTAGTACTGGGATTCTCTGCAGAGAGAAAGGGAGAGAGATGCAGCCCCCACCAACTTGTCTTGGAATTAGAAATGGGAATTCAGCTTCCAAGTCTGACGCCTTTCTTTGGTGCCTCTTTCAGGTACTTTTAAGAGCTGGTGTTTTTTTAAGCTGGCACTGCTGAGCCATGTAAACCATGTGACTTTTTATGACTTTTATGACTTTCAAAAATGTCTTTGTTGACTTTTTAGTCAAAAATGACTTTTTATGTTTTATTTTATATACATGTATAAAATATATGTGTTTATATATATATATATGTGTGTGGGGGGGTGTATATTACACATACATATACACACACAAACAAACATTCACTTGTAATAAATATGTGATTTTATTACTGGGGGTGCAYGAGTGAGCACCCTTCCCAGATGTTTGACTCGGTGAAAGAAGAGGGAGGGAGAGCAGCAGCAGAACATTTATTTACTGGTGCAGCTGTTGAACGGCCAGGCTAATGGGCCATTTAGGGTGACAGGGGTGAATCATGCCTGGTTTGGTGGCCGGCCATGGATAATCTGGAGGATGTCTCCAAACTGGGATAAGTATTTCCCCCAGTATGTACGGAAGGAGGAGCAGGCACCCCCTTTTTGCCAGATCCCCTAYTTATTCCGTTCCCCCCTTGGTTTATTTTGCAGGTGTTTTTCCAGGTCTGATCACCTTGCCCTCCACATGAAGCGACACATCTGAACGCGGGTCGGCTTGGCGCGGATGTCACCTGAGCTAAGTGCTACGAGACGAGAGGGGAACCCCAGCTAGAACMCGCTGCCTTGCAGGAGGAGGGACCTCGTTCACACCTAACGCTCTGTACAGGGGCCACACGCTCACACTGTCACGCACCCAACTAGACTTCAGCACCTACACGTGTCCTTTATGCCTTGCCCCAGCTGGATGGGAGAAGATGCAGGCAAGGAAGCGGCATCGGAGCCAGTAAGACGGAACAGTGGCTTACAGTACTTCGTCTCTCTTGGATTTGTYTCCTGCTTTTTGCCAAGAGAAATGAAAGCGAATGAGGAGGCTTCCCTGCAGGTGGACGGCAGGAGGAGGGGCTCGTTTAACTTGCTTCTCAGTGCAACTCAATAGGAGAATACGTTGTCTTCAAGTTGCATATTTGTAGCACTAACTTTTCTTTTTAAATAGACGGGGGGAAAACCTAGAAAACCAAATCCCAGTTTGGTAGCCAAAACTAACCTCTTGGTTCACTTGTTCTTTGTCTGAGAATTCCTAATGTTCAATGCGTCCGACTTCTCACAGACACTTTGACTTGTCTTGGTTTTGGTTCTTCTTCCTAGAACTGAGCTATTAAGATCCTTTTAAGTCAATACCAGTGGCCTTAGTGGCAGTAGACTGTGGAGTGACGCTTGTGACACAAACATCCTCTTTTTGGCCTGAGTTTATGTAGATTTCACGGAGGACTTTATATTTCTCGGTTTATTTTAATTTTATTTTTGGCTATTGCACAACATATGCACTAGGGACTCTGGAAGCTGCTGGCTAAGTGGCTGAGGGCGAAGTCCCTGAGAAACAGCACCTAATATCTCTGTAGGCATCACCTTATTGCCGTAGCTAGGACTTCTTGTTTATTTGTTGAGCAAAAACGTTGCGAGCTTATTCGGAAGCTGAAATGATTTTCTTTTCTCTTTTCTCCACGAACAAGTGATCTTCAGAACTCCTTGTCTCCACCTGGATATCGGTCTGGGACTGGCCACACAGGCAGTGACTGCAGGACTCCTTCCACATCATGTGAGCACGTTAGCCGCAACCGGCAGGGGCTTAGCGATGAATTCTGTTGCTTGGCCTTGCTGTTCTTCTATTCACCAGTTTAAAACATTAGACTTTTGTTTGTGTAAAAAGCACCTGCAGACATTTTTTTTATTTCAACCTAATGCTTGCTGAGCATCTTACAAAGAAAAAAAGCCAAAAACTGCAGTCCCTGAGTGGGAAAGCAAGAACCTCTTCCAAGTACATTGGCTTCATGCAGCATTAGTTGATTTTAAAGATACCCTTGAAGTCCTCCTTTTCCATTCATCACGTTGATCCTCTAGCCCACTCCTGTACAAAACCGTAAAACAAAGTGTGAACGGTGAATGAAGGGTTGGATTTTACACACAGCAGTGAGCCTTTTCCAATAGATTGGTCCTAAAGTCCTAAAGTCTGCTTTGGCCAACTGTCCTACCACCAAGGAGAAGTGGAGGTCTCGTGCTCACCTTTCAGCCCTATTGATAATTGGACTTGGGGGGCTCAAAGTGGATTAAAATCCTCATTTTAAAGGGAAAAAAAAAAAGGTTTCTCGCCATAACTTGCATTTGAAACTAGTTGGCACTGGCCCTGTCTCCAAAGACTGCATTTGAGACCATGACAATGGTCTATGCGGGCAGGCAGAGTGATCATTAGGTTGTATATTTTGTATATTCTGGGACCATCCCCACAAAATGTGTCTAGAATGAAACAAACTGGCGCGTGGTCCACAAATGGTTGCTGCTTTTTTATACTGTACTAGCCAACTACCCTTCTTTGACTGTTTTGACTCATTGACTGTTATCTATTTCCCTTAATTTATGTTTTGGGAGGTAAAACTGTATTATTGGGGAAAAAAGAAACAAGCAACTCAATAGATGTCTAAGAGCTGTCACCGGGATCCTTGGCACTTGAATTCTCAGCTTTTTTGCAACCTTTGGTTCCAGTGAGAGATGGAATTTACTTGAAAGATGCTGTTTTTCCTCACAGTTTTCACAAAACACTGTGACTGTCAACCGAACATTTTGGGGACAGGGGGGAATACAATGTCTGGCCCATATGGCATGAAATATGGACCAAAACTGAACTGCCTTTTAGGGGCAATGATGTACCATTCACAATAACAAAAAGAGAGGGAGGGTGAGAGAGAGAAATGGAGGGAAGGAAGGGAAGGAAGGAAGGAAGGAAGGCGTGAAGGAAGGAAGGTAGGAAGGAAGGAAGGAAATTGACTTTATTCCAAAGATTTAAAACTAACCATACTATAAATATATATATATAAAAGAAAAAAAAAAAATACAGAGCACTGCTTGCTGACAATCTTGTCGTTCTCTACTTCTGTATTTGTGTACTTTTTATGGCCATTCCGTACAGCTCTTCCACTGGGATTGAGGGCCCTAGGATCCAGTTTGTGTTGCAATATATGGACCATCCTGCCACATACCTAATGAGAACTGAAACCTCAGCTTTGTGAAACCGTAGAGCATCCAGTCAGTGCATTAGGTTAAAAAAAAAGGATAAAGGATCATAGAATTTCATTACTGTAGTATACAAGCCCACCACTGCAATGTTAATTGGCCATGAGTCTGCATAAATATCCTCTGTTGACCTCTGAACACACCCTCCCTTAGGTATACTAGCAATAGCCCATAAAATGTAATTATTAAGTGACAGTTTAAGTACCAGCCTCTGTATAAAACGGCAAAAAAGTCRACCAAGACTGTTTATTTACTTCCTCTTGTCACTTTTGTCTTGCAACATCTGATTTAAAAATGGCAGAATGTGGGACCCAGGGAGGAAAAAAAACCCCACTCTGAAATATCTCATTAACTTGTTTCTAGAGGTAGGCCTATGTCTAAATCCCGATCCAAGTAGAGAAAAAAAAAAAAAAAAAGGAATTAGAATGTGGATCAGAATCCAGATTTCTCAGGCCCTGCCTGTAGCAGATCTTGAACTCTGAAGCCAAATTCAGGCTCTGGTGTTTTTACAGGGAGATACTTTCCCGTGCGTGTGCTCTGCACTTGGTCGGTCCCTGGACGTGGTGTCTCGGAAGCCCAGCTAGTGTTTTGTAGGGATTTCCCTTTGGAAGGGCGTAATTAGTGCCGTGTTACAGGAGTCTCTCTTTACAATGAGAAAACGTGTTCCTTTCAGCTGCTTCCAGTTGTGCACTTAACACTTGAGTAATCAGCCTGTAACAGCTCCATCCTTCTTGGGGCTGTATCTCTTTGCCGAAGTTGTACAGAGATCTTCCCTTTCCAAGCAGACCCAAGAGGAAAGGGCTCATCTTGCCTGTCAGGTTGCTCTGGGATCAGGAACTCGGACAGGTGACTTGATGGAAGCTGAGGGCAGCAGGAGCAGCTTTGCCTTATTTCCTTTATACTGGGTTTTATGTATGTGCAAAACTGAAGCCATTACTAAAAAAGAATAATAAAAAAAGCTAGATTCTGTTTTCCAAAGCCATGGAACTATACCGTGAGGGGAAAAAAAATACAATACCTAAATGAAAAAACCCGGGCAAATGTGGATTTTTGTGAATGGACAGAATGATGCAGGCAGGAGGTGCCTCTCAGCCAGCCTCCCGCTCCGAGGAGGTCCGACCAGAGCCAGCTGCTCAGGGCTGTATCCGAGTTCGGAATATCCCCACGGGTGGAAATTCTGCAGCCTCTTTGTGCATCCCGATCAAATATTGGACCACTCTTGTGGTGTTTTTTCACCCTATTTATTTCCCCAGGCTTTTCCATGTTTCTCCTTGCGTTCCTTGCCTCTTGTCCTTCACCATTTGGCTCTGCTGTCTCTTCCCACGGAGCGGCTGTGGGCAGCAGGCAGATCCCCCTTTGCACGGCCCTGAGCTTGGAGAATCCCCAGTCTTGGAGCCTCCTCTGGTCTGTCGGGCGCTGCAGCCCCCTGCCCCTCTTGGTGACCCACCTCTGCACCCTCTGGATTCGCTGCAGTATCCCASTAACTTCCACGGAATGCAGGGGCCAGAGCTGGGCTCAGTGTTCCCGATCAAGGTGTGCTTCATATATTGCGGTGTTGATATAGCTTATTTGTTCTGGATTTTTCCACTAATTAGGTGAAGAGATTTTACTTTAAAAACTGGCATATGAAAAATCTTCTAAGAAGCTACACTATCAAGCATTTTAAAATTGGATTTKCTGAATTTAGGTTTAAAAATATGCRTATAGAACTAGGATTTCTATACATCCAGCCTCATGTCTGRCAGACAAGATTCTTCTTTTTTTTTAACCTAATCATTGCTCTTTTACCTTAAATTRAAAAAAATATATATTGTTTCACTCATATCAAATATGGAAACCCATGGTGCTTTGTTTTAGTCACCTTTCAGAACAGAGTGACACCTGAGCGCATCTTTGCTCTGCTTCTTTTTCTCCATTAGAGAAAAAGAGCCACCTAAAACATGACACACATTTTATAAGACGACTCTAAYGGAAAAGGAGATTCCAGGGTATTTTTCGCTATCCCAGAGTCGCCCAACTTGAATAGCCTGGCAAATTAGAACAGACTATAAACAGAAATGAACAAAGAAAGATAATTCSCTGTCAAATTCCAGGACAAATCCCTGATTCGCTGAATGTCCCGGTGAATGAGCTAACTGAATTGCTTAAAGCAGAGGTAGGAGTGCCTGACCCCCCGGGTACTTTCCAACCTAAATTATCTCATGATTCCATGATTCCCATCAGAGCTCCCACTGATGAAATGCRCAGTGGTTCCAGTCTTTCCAGTCTTGTTTGTGAGACTTCTTTGTAAGGGAAAGGTGGAGAAAAGGAAATATTTAAAGGAAAAAAAAAAAAGAAAAAAAGGAAAGAAAAAAACTCTTGGGAAATTGGTGTGAAGTGGCATTATACCAAAAGCAATGTCACTGCTGCAGGGACCAGCCAAATATTTTGGAAACAGACTTGCTAGCCTGGAAGATCAAAGGGATAAAACCAAAAAATGATTCCCAGTACCTGAAATCTGAGCCAACATATCTGTCTATGGAGGTGAACATTAACATCTTATTTTTCCTTCTCAT